TTTTTTTTTGCAGACCCGGACCTTCCAGACCAGACGTCTGGAGTCCGGACTGAATCCAGACCGTCTGGACGGGGGTCCGGATGTCCGGATCGTAGCCATGAATTTTTTTATTTTTTTATTTTTTTATTTTTGGCCCAGCCGGGCAAGTGGTCCCGGGCCACTCTGGTAGCCTAGACCTGCATTCAATTATACAGAATTTCAGAACCAAAGGCATGCTTCCTGAAATTATGCTCATATGTTATGATTCTCCTATCAAAACTAACTGAGCTCAAAGATTCCACTTAGGATGTGGTTAACCCCATCCAGTTTACACGTGAATCAAGACAACTGATTACTATTTGCAGAGAGTTGTAAATCCACCTGACGAGAGAGGTAGGAAAGACGCAAAGGTTTGTTTCGTGAACTATGACGAAAACCAGGGGAACACTTCAAAATTCACAATTTTTTTGAATGCTGTTCATACAGAAGTGTTTGCGCATTTGACGATCAAGATACAATGGGTTGTGAGAGTCTGGCTCCAAGCACCTCACTTTGAGCCAAGCTGAGTTCTCTCAGAGACACTTCCTTCTCCTGTTTCCATTCACATGGCACAGACAATTGACACATACATTATGACGATGCCAGCAGACCATGCAAATCCATAGAATTCTCTCCCATTTGTCTACTCTCGCCTTTCTTTGGCTAAATTCCAAAAATGGCCGTCATAATAAGTTTATAATTATACTTTATAATAGTTTTTATTATATTCACTTTATTTTGTTTCCCCATGATGATTCTCTGGTTATTTTGGCAAGTTCCCAGAGATGGCAATTGTGGGATTGGAGAGGTAACATTACATATCAAGCTGGTCAAACTGAAAGGATTCATGCTGCAGACGTCCCGAGTTCCGGTTCCAGAGTCCCAAAACGTCCCAGTCCCAGACTGTCCCAGTAGGGTAGGTTGTAGGATCCATAGGCTGAAGCGTCGTACGTTGCTAGGTGTCGCATACCGTAACGGTACAGATGAGAACAAGAACCGACCTCTCTCACATAGTACAAGATAGCACAGCGGAAGGCTCAAATACCAATGATCCGAACAATCAATGTTGCCATGCAGACCAAACACACATCATCATCATTCCATGGTGTGAAGGGGCCTGGCGCTCACACAGGAAGAATGCGCCAGTCCCCAACTATACACAGACGAAGAAGAGGGGGGTTAGACAAAGAAGAGGTGTTACTGATGCCACACGGGTCCCTTTCGGACCCGACCACTAGACTAAGGGGTATTTAGGCCGGCCCAGCCAAAGGCCGGACCTTTCTCCTGGTAGGCCGCATTGAGGCCACCGGTTGGTTTTCCTGCAGCAGACCAGGTATAGGCCCAAACGACATTATCGTTGGGCCAGGCGGCGCCCTTGAGGCTGCCGCCCGTCGGTCTGATCTGAATCGTCAATCTTGACGATTCAGATCACGGCGCGCTGAGGCAGCATTGAGGCCGACCGGCCGCCGGCCGGTACTTAGGCCGGTCCAGCGGCCTTTCCAGGCATTTTTCGGGAAGCGGCAGTGTGGAGCGGCAGCGCTGCGCTATTCTGGGTTCAGCACAGCGCTGGGAACTGCAGCGCTAAGTTAGCGCACCGCACTGCAGTAGAGAGGAGCATGGAGGAGACTTACCTGACTGCCGCGGTGAGCGCCATAGCTCCAGCGGCGCAGCTACCTCCAGCAGCAGCAAGGCGCCACCTTCAGTTACAGGTAGGGCCTGGGCTACTCGCCAGCTCCGCCGATGCTCTGCCCCTCCCGGGACTTCTTCTACTACGTCTACCCCTCTCAGTCTTCTTCTCCTTCAGACTTCCACTTCTTCTTCTTCTTCTTCTTCTTCTTCAGACTGGAGACTTTTGATACAAGTTGGACAGAGATCCATGATTGGACTTCGGTGGTAGGAGGATGTGATACTTACCGGATTCGAGACATTGGAGATAGTTGGGATTGATACCAGGCGGCATCACAGATCGGACATCCGCTACATTAGGATTCTGTACCTCCGACATTGGTGACTTATGTCCACGACATTCTGATTTTGTTTGGTGACATTTTGGGCTACCATATCGGTGACCTTCAGGATTCTACCTCGGTGACATCTGGCGCTGTCCATATCTCCCACCTCCATCGTCTCTCCTCCCACCATTCATCTGTGTAGGATTGAAGCATCGTCCATGTATGGTCTTCAGACCCCCCTCCATCTCACGATTGCTTGTGTGTTAAGTGATGTTTGGGTGAGTTCAGTCTATGTGAGTCAGTCCATTTCTCAGACTTCCGCTGTATACATGCTCATCCTATATTGGTTGATCTTTGGTTCTGCCCATACTTGGTGAAGTATTCACTAGTATGCAACAGTTTGGTATCAGAGCAGACCAATTAAGTGGATCTGCTCACAGGGTAATCCTGATTAGGGAATCGATTGCTTAATTAGCATTGTCTGTTTCCGAATTAGTTCTGCATTTGCAATCAGACTCGCTTTCATTCACACTTTACAAGCATGCAAACAGTAGCGCAGCAAACTGGCGACAAGCGCCCACACAGAACTCAGAGATATGGTCGCCGAAAACACAGTCCAGATACAAGTTCACTTTCGATGGCTATGGCGACTCAGCGCCCAAACAACTCTCTGTTCGCATACACCGGGTCACCCTGGATATCCCACACGCGATACTCTGCACTCACACATACACACACACCACACTAACTCTAGCTATGGCCGCTATGGCCGCAACTACCCTATCGCTAAGCTACGCTCCTTCTCTCTCACCCACTTCGGCTCCGGGCTCACTGCAGACCTCCTTGCACAAGTCGCTGTGGCAGCGCTTCCCCATGGCTCACGCAGGAATGAATGAATGACTGGGCGCTGCCCCTTGATTTATACTTCTGAAGCTCGTTGGTCTGCTCTTTTCCATCGGCCCATGGTGCTCACAGTCCCTCGTGGTACTTGCTGGACTGGACTGGGACTGACTGGACCTTACCGCTGACTGGATGGGGACTCACTGCTATCCTACCGCTTTCGTACTGTGAACGTACTGCAGTTGGTCCACCACTTGCCCACTTGCTCGACCTTCTAGAAGGACTACAACTAAGACTTCTGGAACTCGCTAAGACTTCTATTCTACAGACCTACAGATCGAACCTCTGCTACCTACGGACCCTACGACAGTCTACTAACTGTTACAAATACACAGGTCGTGGGTTCAAGCCTCGGGGTCGACACAGATACTGTACACCAGTAGGGTAAGGGCTAGGGATCTAGCCCTGGGGTCTGCATCTGCTACTGCAAAAGGTGAAAACCGTTTCACTCCCGCTGTCCTAAATTCGAGGTCCTCCGAGAATATCTTAGTCCAAGGCAGGACCTTTACTCTTCCTATCACGCTCATAGGCTCTGACTATGTCGAGAGTTGTTTCTAGAAGTTCTGTTCTAGTAAACCAGCGGTCGTCCTCCGGTTCCTGATAGGCAAACCGGACCTTATACTGTTTCTGTAGACGACCTCTATCTCTTGTCCTAAACACATCTTCATCTACAATGCCGTCAATGTCATATCTGCCATCCATATCCGGAGGGATCATGGATCTTCTTGAGGGGAACTGCTGACTTGTGACACACGGCAACAGCTTTGAAGCATGAAACACAGGGTAGGTGTGGAGGTGTGTTGGAATCTCTATAGTGTAGGACGGCGCATCCTCTCCACCCTTGACTTCTAGAACCGACCACGGTCCTCTATATGCAGGCAGTAACTTCTGCGAGATGTTCTCCTCAGGTGCAAACTCTTTAGACTTGACCCAGACCAGGTCGCCTACCTGAAACTGAGACGGGCGACGGTGCTTATTTGCCTGTTCTATCATTCGGTGCTGGGCCTTCCTGAGGTTTTCAACAACTGTAGCTAACTATCTCTCGTGTTGTATTGCAAACTTCCTGGTTCCGGGCGGTAGCCTGTGAATCTGATCCCGGGTAAGTCCCTCAAACGGTCTGCGGGGTCTAAAGGACTTGTGTAATTCATTGGGAGTGCGACAAGTAGACAAATGCACGTTGTTGTTGTATGCGCTCGCTACCTTGGGCAACGTCTCGTCCCAATTGACTTGATCCGGTCTAATATACATGCGCAGAACTTGCTGCAGGATCTTGTTCATCTGTTCTGTCTGTCCGTTAGTCTCTGGGTGACGGCCAGATGACATCAACAACTTTGATACATAGACTCTCATCAGTTCCTGTCAGTTCTGGCTTGTGAAGCAGGTGTCTCTATCACTAACTATAGACAATGGAACTCCGTGATCGCTAATAAAATGATCGAAAAACTTCTGAATGACTAATTGCGTACGTGCCTCTGCAGGCAAAGGAACAAAAACTGCATATTTACTGAATCTATCGACTATGACCATGACTTGGCTCTTGCCGTGTCTACTCTTGACACCGACATCCATAAAGTCAATGGAGACTAAATCTCCAGGTTGGTCTGGGATAGGCAAGGGTCTGAGAAGACCTAGAGGGGCGCGCGTTGTGGTCTTGTTTCTCTGGCAAACTTTACAACTGCGAACATACTCTATACAGTCAGCTTTCATCCCTGGCAAGTGACCAGGTATACGCACGCATCAGATTGGCTAAAGTCTTCTGCCAACCGAAGTGTCCCTCTGTGTCATGGCATTCTCCTAGGATCAGACTACGGATCTCTTCGCTGTTGGGAATGCACAGACAGTCTACTACATTAGTCTTCTCAAACAATAGTCCTTCAGTAGTGCGGTAGTCTGGTTCGGTCTCTGGGGCCTCCTCAACTCTCTTGAGGAGGTCACTATAAATAGGGTCTTGGGCATACGCCTGTCTAACTTTCTCTTGCAGGTGCTTCCCTATATCCAGGTAGTGCACTATAGCTCCAAAGTAGTCTGATCTCCTACTCAAAGCATCCGCAACTACGTTGTACTTGCCCTTCACTGGTTTGAGCTCGAAGTCATATTGGTCTATCTCAGCGGCCCACCTAGTCAACTTACGTGTCGTCTTGGCCTGGGTCTTTAACCATCTAAGAGTTCCGTGGTCTGAGTATACTTTGAAGTGCCTCCCAAGCAGGTAATGCTTCCAATGCTCTAAGGCCTGCCTGAGAGCGTAGAGTTCTCTCTGGTACGTCGAGGTGGCTACCTTCTCTGAGGGCATCCTCGCTGACATGAACTCTATGGGTCTATAGCCATTGTCGTCGTCTTGCTGCAACACGGCACCTATACCATACTGACTGGCATCCGTGGTGACGACAAATGGCAAGGACGGATCCGCTACCTTGAGGACAGGGTACTCTATTAACGCGCGCTTTAGTTTCTTTAGCGCAATCGAACAATCTTTGTCCCATTGCCCGATTGCCGATTTCTTTAGGAACCTGCGCAAGGGAGCAGCGATAGTAGAGAAGTTCCTCACGAACATTCTGTAGTAATTAGCTAGGCCTAAGAACGACCACAACTTTGTCAACGTGCGGGGCGTCGGCCAGTCTCTAATTGCCGCTATCTTGCTGTCCTCTGGCTTAATGTCGTCTCCGTCTTATACGTGGCCCAAGTACAGGACTTGCGTCTTGGCCCACTCGCACTTCTTTGCGTTGATTTTGAAGTTAGCCTCTCTGAGCTTCTCCAAGACCTGCCTCAAATAACCCTGATGTTCCTGGAGGGTCCTGCTGAAAACTAAAATATCGTCTAAGTAGATTACTACAAACTTATCTAACCACGGCCTAAACAGATCGTTCATACAACGCTGAAATGTAGCTGGCGCGTTGGGCAGTTCAAAGGGCATCACTATAAACTCATAGTGACCATATCTAGTCCGGAAACACAGTCTTGTACTGGTCATCAGGATGGACCTCTATTTGATGATAACCGGACTTTAAATCTATCTTGGAGAAATATTTGTAACCCTGCACCCGATCTAAGAGATCGTCTATCCTGGGCAGCGGTTCAACATTTTTGATTGTGATCGCATTCAAATTTCAAACCCCTATAGTCTATGCACATACGTAACTCTCCCTCTTTCTTGGGGACAAACAGACCAGGTGCTCCAAAAGGAGACGAACTGGGCCTGATCCAACCTTTCTCCAGGAGCTCGTCCAATTGCTTGCGCAACTCCTCTAACACTCTAGGGGACATTCGGTAGATTGCTCCCTTAGGAGTTCTACTGCCAGGCTCTATTTCTATCCTGTGTTGGATCGGTCGCGGCACTACTCCCGTCGACGACTCGGTCAAATCTTTGAACTCCTCCAGCAGCTTGGCAATGGTTGGATTTGTGGAACTATCTCCTTCCTTAGGCTCAATGGCAGGTCTAACATATACTACAAAGATCTGATCCTCTAACTGCTCCTTTTTCGCTAATCGCGCGAACGAGGGAGCACTGAGACAACAATGTGCCAAGGCATTGTCTACATTTGACACATGAAGCAGGCGGGCAGTCTTAACCTCACCTGACGGGCTAGGGAGCCTACACTCATGTTCTCTCAAGTGGAGTGTGGCACCTGCTGCCTCTCCCCAATCCATTCCTAGCACTATGTCAAAAGGAAGATCGTCCTGTACGAGGAGAGTCAGGGAATGGAGAACTTTCTCCACCTTCCCATCTTTCTCTAGGCGAAAGTACACCTGGACTTCCTTTACGTAGTCCTCAACTCGCAATGTGCGGTTGTCTGCGAGGACACTGACTATGGGGTCTACCAACTTTGGGACTTTTAATCCTAGCCTTAGCTTTTTCAGCGCTCTACGGCTAATGTAACTACAAGTAGCCCCTGAATCTATAAGGGCCCCTACTCTACTCCTGAACACTTCTACATCAACTAAGATTAGTTGTCCCTTACTCTCCTTCTTCATTTTGGCCCAGGCAGGCATTCTCTCCTTCAACTCTTCTGCCACTCTTGTGAGGGACATGCCTAGAGAGATGCTAGCACAAGCAGTCTCTGGACAACTACCTAGGCACGGGCCTGCAACCTCTGCCATAGGCTCATGTGGTTTGGGAGTTTCCTGTTCGCGCGCGCTCGCTTCCCCACATGGCCTTGAAGTAGGGGCAGTTGCGACCCCTACTGGCGGCTGCCTTTTGACTGCTGGGCAGCCCATCGGGCCTGTCTGTACTTAGGAAAAAATTTAATTACATGGTCCGGGTCACCACAAAACATGCACTGACCCAAGTCCACGCGTTCCTGCCATACACGGCCAAGCCCAAATCCTCCAAGGGCCTGCCCTGCGGCAAGCCAGGGTGCCATCCTCCTTGAGGTGGCCTTCCACCTCTTCGCTGCGGAGTCCGACAAGAACCCGGATGACTTGGCGGGGGACCTTGACCCCTACCACCCACTTGGCGGTTCCCTGGTCCGCCAACCCCCTGTGCGCCCGGTCCTCGGCCTCCCGTGGCGTGGCCCCTTTGGCCCTGACCTCCTCCTCTACCTTGCAGCCTCCCTCCAGCCGCGACAGCCTCATAGGACCTCCCCTGCCCTACGCTGCCGTCCTCTTCCTCTAACCCCCACTCAATCTCACTATAGGGGACTTCATCAGTACCTTCTTCTAAGGTAAGGATCAAGTGATCCTTGGCTCTTACTTGGCCAAAGATGGTACGCCCTTTCCACTTCTTCCCTTTATCCAAGTCCTTATGCCAGAAAGTGGAAACTGGCATGGACTTTGACTCAAACAGGACCACCTCTCTACTTAGTACATCATAGGTGATGTCGGCTTGGTGGGATTTGTCAAACAAATGCCCACGCAGGGGCTCGGGCATGGCACGATAAAACAATTGGACCAGTTGGGTCTCAATGACCCCATGGTCCGGGACGGCTACCAAGTCGTCCATGACCCCCTTGAGTGCTTTTGCACTCCTCCACTGTCATGAGTGGATAGTTTGTAATTTGTCAGAGGCTCTAACGCCTCTCGATGGATCAGCAAATCTCTCCCTCAAGAGTTTGAAGAATTGAGGAAGGGGGGTGACCTTAGAATATGCAACCAGGTTGTTTTCACAACCGGCTGCGCGCGCAAGGGATCTGGCAAAGCTAGCCGCTTCGTCCTTGAGGGCCTGGAAGGCGACGAGGACTTGCTCCTCAATCAAGATGTGTTGTAAGTATATATAACTATTGACGCTTGCCTCCCAGTTATTGAAATTTTCCTCCTTCTTCCCGCCGTATGCATCTGGGAATTTCAGTTTGACGGGCTCTTTACGAGGCCTAGGCTCACTATCAACAGTGGCTACCGCTTTGGCACAATCAATAGCGCCCTCACAGAACTTTCCCACGTTGTCTCTCAACCGTCTAACTTCGCCCCCAACGTGGGTGACCATATCGCGCGCAAAGTCCCGAAATCCTGACCGCATGGCCTTCAGGGCCACATCGTGACCCCAGTTGGCTTGGCGCTCCTCCATCCAAGCTGCACTGAACACTTCCAGATACCCCAGCACCTTATCCATCTTGGCAGAAATATCTTCCTGCGCCTGCACTTCCTGTCTACAATCCCTCACTTTTGCCACTTTTAAGGTCAACCTGTTAACTTCCTCCCTCCTCCTCTTCTTTTCTCTCTTCATCCTCAGTTTCCATTTCAACTTCTTCTCCTCCTCTACTTCTTGCCTTTCCAGGGGGTCCTCGATTGCTCCTAGCTCATTGGCTAACGCATCCCTCTCGTCCTGGGGCACATAAAACTCTGCCTCCTCATCTTCCCCCAACGATAAATTAGCAATCCACTCGCTGATCTTTTTCTCCATGGCCGCATCCTCATTTGTCGTGCCACTACTCTCTCCTATTATCTCCCTGCGTTTTCTTTCCTCCTCTGCTTCTGCTGCTGCTTCGTCTTCGACAACCTTTCTCTTCTCCTCCATTTCCTCCTCCAACTTCTTCATTTTCGGCGCATGCTCCTCTGCGATCGCTTTCAACTTCGCCTGTTTCAGGAGCTTTTTCCTCTCCTTGTTTTCTCTCACTAAGGCGGCCATCTTCTCTTGCTGCTCTTGGGTGTAGGGGCTAGTGCTCTTCCCACTACGGGTCTCAACTATGGTGATAAGTGCACAACCGGTTTGACGGTTCCAAACCTCACCACGTAGACTCTAACCCCTGACTGACAAACTAACTGACTCAATCTAAGACTCACAGAATCCGGACAGGGATCCTGTCAACTAGGGTCTCTAGCCTAGACCTATACTATGGTTGTCACTACTGGACCTGTTGCTGATCAAGAGGCATTTAAGGAGGTCCCCCGTAACTCCTCAGGAATTATTTAACGTCGCAAACAGGACGACGCGATCAGCAGGTCTCTCAACACTTAGACGGCCTGTTCTGGGCCTACGGTGCCACACCGAGCAGCCCGCCGGTCAGTACCGGTCCTTGGGAGGGTTGGGCCTCCGGGACAGTCGAGTCGTCAGACACAGTCTTTAGCCCTACTCAACCCATGTGGGTTTGGTCAACAAGGCCCTATCCTTCATCCACAGAGTTACATCACCTGGACAGAAGAGACTCGATGCAGAAAGGAGAGACAGACAGACTGGACTCAGCAAGTACCACAGGGTGTGTGCACATCCATAGGGAGAGGGATAGGTTGAAGGTTTGGCGAGATTATACCGGCTCCAGTTTGGTCAAACTCGTGGTCAACGACATGGTCAACGCCGGTCAACGCTACGGTCAAACCCCGGTCAACGCCGGTCAACACCTCCGGTCAACTCCTGTTCAACCCCGGTTAACCTCCTGGTCAACTTCCCCGGTCGGCTATGCCTGCCGGCTTCACTTTCTCTAACCAACCCTCTTCTTCCCTTCACCTTCCTCGCCTCCCTTCACCCTGCTGTCTTTTTTCTCTTTTTTTTTTTTTTTTTTTTTTTTTGTTCGTATCTCCCTTCGTCTCTCTCGGCTATAGCTTCCCTCGCTCTGCTCGATCTCCTCCCCTCTGTCCCTCTTCCCTCCTTCGTTACTCCGTGGTCCGGCTCCACGACTATGGCCGCAATCTTCTTCGTCGTGGGACTGCACAACAACTTCACAGGTACGTGACAACCAAACTTGTATCGCTCATCTCTCTCTCTCTCTCTCTCTCTCTCTCTCTCTCTCTCTCTCTCTCTCTCTCTCTCTCTCTCTCT